GATGATGATGATGATGATGATGATGATGATGATGATGATAATAATAATAATAATAATAATAATTAATGATGATAATAATAATGATAATAATAATGATAATAATAATGATAATAAGAAGAAAATTGAAAATATTAATATGGATAATAATATTAATAACTATAAATTAAATTAGGAATACGCGATTTAAATATTAGTGGACAGATATGTTGTGATGCAGATCTTGATGGATATATAAATAAATTTTCTATATCTATCATTTTTGAATATTATTTAGAGAATAATTTGCGAAAATTTTCGATGTATTTTAATCGGTTATTTCTTTCTTCAATTTTACACTTTTCCAAATTTGATTTTAACTTTCGTTCTTATTTTTATTTAATTTATTATTGTTGTCTAAAAACTGGCTAGAATACTGCAAATATATTCGACTACAATTAATTTATCATGAAATTTCTATAATAAATTCAATACTTTCATTATTTTTCATAACGTATAACGGTAAACTGACCAATATAATTGTTGATTCGCTTCATCTTCTTCCACCCATTGAAAAGCAAAAATGAATCAACCAGTTATATTGTTTCTATATCTCGTCGGATGAATAAGAGAGAAAATAAAATTGAAAAAGAATAAAAATTGAAAAAGAAATAAAATTGAACGAATCAACGGTTGCTAATTATCGAGTGTATTTGGCATTAAAAGATGTTAGAAATAACTTCAAGCAAGAACTCGAAACGAATTGACAACGAGTGATACCGTGACGAATTATCAAGAATCTTTTATCATGAATTTCTTATCAATTTTCCTTTCTTCTCTCACTAATTTCTTTAATATGATTTCACCGTGGGAAAGTACGAGGATTTTAGAAATTAAAAATGTTCATAACACTACCCTATTTCACAGCAAAAAATCTCATCAATAATTTGTTAATATTTATATGATTACTTAACTTTACATGATTAATTAATCATGAGAATACATTTTTCATTACAAGAAAAAGTTATATTCTTAACGTCGAACTTTTAAGAGAAATTAATTAATCGAACGTATTACAAGATATGTATTCATATATTATCTAGTTATTTATTAACTAACTATTATTTAACGATTTAAACTGACTTCATTTTTAGTCTAACTCGTTAAACGTTGATTTTTATTTCAATAATTACTATACCATTCGAAACTATCCGCGCAAATATCCCTAAACTTTATTTGAAAATTTGAATGATATCGATATAGTTTTGCAATAAAAAAATTCATATATAAAATAACAAAAAAATCAATCATCAGATTAAAAAAAAACAGAAGAATAAAGAGGTCAAGAAATATAACAACATTCGTAAACTGGAAAGATGACTATCTCAATTTCAACAAAGTTTCAATTTGATCGATGTCTCGAAAATTATGAACCGGCTTTATGGCTTTCCATAACTTTCAAGTAATCTAAAAGGATTATTCGCACAAATAACTTTGGTCAAATAAAAAGAAAAAAAAAAGAAAATTATTTTATACCATTTTCGGAAGATCCTCAGTAATTCATGGTTTTGTACTTTACGAGAAACGCCAGCTAATCTCCCGTTACATATATAAATTAAATAATAAGATTCATTATTACAGATATATTTTAAAAATTATATAACGCTTTCACAGCTTCTGGCAATGAGGCATTTCAATAATGAATAGATAAAAAAAAAAAATAAGAAAATAATAATAATTAATAATTAATAATAATAATAATAATAATAAC